TTTGCTGAATACCAGAATCACGTGGGGGAGATCCCAGCTACTCGGGAGTCTTGAGGCAGGAGAATGGCGTGAACCCGGGAGGCGGAGCTTGCAGTGAGCTGAGATCCGGCCACTGCACTCCAGCCTGGGCGACAGAGCGAGACTCCGCCTCAAAAAAAAAAAAAAAAAAAAAAAAAAAAAAAAGATCTTAACGCCAGGGCTCCACCTCAAATCATCTAAGTAAGAATTTCTGGGGGTAAGACCAAGGCATCAGACTTTCTTAAAACTGCCCAGGAGATTATAATGTGCAGCTGAGTCCTGACCAGTGCCCTTGCTTCTGCTTGACTGTGCTCTGTGGTGAAGTCCCGCTTTGTGGGGTTGGTTGTACACTGAGAGACAGTCCTTCCCAATAGAACTAATAGGAATTAATGCCTCTCTAGAAGCCACCTAGAACCAATCAGCTCCTTCCCTCACTGAAGCTCTTTGAAGATTTGAAGGCAGTAGTAAACAATTTGCAACATACTAACCTATTTCCTTACTATGGCCAAAAATACCAATGAAAATGAAACTTTTGGACACACTACTTCATAGTGTGGATTTTAATCCACTATTTGGCCATTATCCTATCCCAGTTTTATTGCTTTGACTCCTTGATGAAATAACTGGGGACAACTGTAGAGAAGTTCTCTGGAAGTTAACGCCAGCGGATTTCTGAAGCGCCAACATGAGCTGTGTTGGTCCTTCCATCACCAATACAGGTCCTTCCCATCAGCTGTCGAGTTCCCAGCTGCCTAGTTCTTCCTGTCTCTGGACCCTGCACTGCCTACCTCCTCTCCTTGGCTGTCTCACTTGTCTCTGTTCTCCCATTATCTGTGTTTGAGCCTGGGTAATGGCCAGGTCTGCAGAAGAGTGGCAGAAGGAAGAAAACAGAAGAGGATGTCATGGTCATGCCCAACACAGAGACTCAGCCACTGAGTCCCTGAGGCCTGATCTAGCACCGTGTGTTAAGAGGCTAAATCCTGGAGTCATAGCTTTTGGTTGTAAACTCTGGCTCCCCCACTCACTGCAGGGGGAACCTTGGGCAAGACCCTTAACCTACCAGAGCCTCAGTTTCTTCATCTGTGAACCCAGGAGTAATAATAGTAACTGACCTCTATGAAATAAAAAGATAATCTGTGGAATATACTTGATACAGTGCCTGGTATGCAGCTAGTGCCTAATCAGAATTAGCTCTTATTATAACCACAGTCCCCTCCCCACCCCCTTGCAAAGCTATCCCTGGTCCACAAGCCTGTCACCTACTCTCTCCTAATCTAAGCTCTGACACGGGCTGCCTGACATTACAGACCCCACCTCCTGCCAGTCTCTTTTCTCTGCACCTGGCCAGTGCTTAGCTTAGAAGCTTAGACTCACCTGGGCTCACAGTGCCTCCCAAAGGCACTGAGGGAAAAAACCCATTAATATTAGCTGTTGTTCCACTGGTTGGCATGGGTTGTGAGGGAAAACTAGCAGCAAATATCTTGCTCCTGATTAGAGTTTTTCTTTGCTGCTTTCAGTTTCCTTTCTCAAGGGGCCACATGAAATTGAACTCAGAACTATGATTTGCCCTTTCCTTAAAGCATGCCAGGAAAATCATTACATTTTTAGCAGGCACTGAAGGATAGGCTGTTTCCCTTTCCATTTAACAAACATTAAATTTTTGACCAGGGTTCCTTGAACTTCACACACTAGCAATGTGGCCTTTATTTTACTGACTTCTTCATTTTATTTTATCAGTACTGCCAGTAAAACTCTGGGAATGTGATCTGTTAGGTCCTGTCTTCGCCAGCCAAGATTTAAAGGGTGCAACAGATTGAAGATTTTCAAACTACAGAACAGTGCTTTCAATATGTGTTCAGTGGGCAACGAAATGCTTCCTTTGTGGGAGTCCATGCTCCCTCTCTTGGGTTAATGGATGACTTTCCAGGGATGCTGCATAAAAGAGTGATTTTAAAAAATGGCTGTAGGCAGCTGTGAGATAGATTCTTCAACTCAGTATACATTTTATTGCTATTTAAAAACAAGTTTAAATTAGATCCTATAACCATTATGCAACCATGTTCCCTGAAGTCTGTACGTACGTCCCTCACTGGTGAGGGGAAAAGGAAGTTGGTAAATTAAGTGTTGCTGGACAGTTCTCAGGTACCCCGACTGTCAGAACAGTTTCACGTGGGTCATATTTAAATCCTCCATTTGATTATTGCTATGGGTTTATTCAGCGTGGCTTCAAAGCAAGCAGGGAAAAAAAAAAAAAAAAAAAAAAAACAGAGCCAAAAGCAACAAAGAGCCACCAACCGAGGAGAAAAAATGCTTGGCTCCAAGAACTCAGTATCAGTATAAATAAAACAAACTCCAATGCTTCCAATGCTGTTCTCACTTCAAATTACATCCCTTGATTTTTCCACTCTAATTTTCATTCACTTGACTGTAAGTGAGTAAATCTTTCCTGGGATCAGTGTAGGCTTGCACTCCTTTGTCCGAAGACATGAATTTACCTTGCCTCCACAGACATGTAGACATATCCACAAATATACTTGCAGAAACTGCGTGAAGTGGTCCCCAGAAGCTAAATCTGGGCTTAATATATAAGAGGATGTAAATTCTATATTCGCTCCCTAGAAAGTAGAGTACATCTTCTAAATTCGCGATCTAAGGTAGAGTTATCTTCTTTGAGTTGAGTTTTTACTGTTTCCTACAGTAGTGATGGGTTTGTCACTGGTCCATTGCTGGGTAGTCAATAGTTCAATATGTGGTATTGGAGCAAGGACTAGTCCTGCAATATTAACTTGATAACACCATTTTGGAACCAACTATGCCAACTACCTTAAGAAAATTAACACATACACTTACAAACAGCTTAATGCTGTCCTGGAATAGACATTACGTCATTCCCTTTCACTTGATTCATTCATTCGTTTATTCATCAAACAAGTGTTAATTTATTCACTACTAATACAGACTCGAAAATATGAGCAACACATTTACTGTTTCTAAAATTCATGTGCTGAATTTCCCTTGTCCTTGAGTTATATGGATACGAGGATAAAACAAAATCAATATTTGTTCTAGTCATCCTGCATAAATATTTTTCCAGACAAATGGCTATTTACCATATTGAATCAACATAGACCGCTGGAATATAAAAAGGTTATCTGGAAGTGTTTTTTCCTCCATGGGTCTGAGAACATAGGCTAGGAGGCTACCCCAAAGGGTGGGGAGCAGACCTTGATTGTGTGCCTATCATGGTGAACCACTATTCTGACATTTACACACGTGATAGCATTTCATCCTCATAAACACCCTAAGAGATAGCTATTCTCACCTCATTTCACAGAGGAGAAAACTGGGATCCCAAAAGGCTAAGTAATTCTGTTCTTAAAACGTTCTGCTCTCTGATTTCAATGACACAACATTTTCCTGATTTTCCCCTTTCTTCTCCTTCCCAGTATTTTAGCTTTTTCTCCTCCTCCCCTTTATCTGTGACTCAATTTTGAACACTATCTACATTCGCTGGTGATCTCATCTGGTACAATGGCTTTAAATACCACCCATGTGCTCATGACTCTCCAGTGTGTCTCTCCACCCCAAACCTCTCCCATTACCATCAGACTTGTATATCCAACTGCCTCCTTGAAATTTACACCTGGATAACGAGTGAGCATCTCTGATTTAGTATGCCCAGTTTGGAGATCTTGAGTTTTTCTCTTCGTATCTCTTTCTCCTTGCATTTGAACCACTTAGATAAATGACTCCACCATTTACCCAATCACTTATATAAATAACCTACGAGTCACTTTTTTCATTACTATTCTCCCAATTTATAACAAACGTATATTGCAAAATCTCTTTGCATTTCTTCATCTCCACCTTTGTATAAGCTAATGCAAAATGTCCCAGACTCTTGGAAACTCCCTATTTACCTTCCTCCATCTCCTCACCCAGAATGTAAATCTGATGGCCGGAGCTGCTGTAACCAGTTGTGAGAATGAGAAAAAAGGGACTACAGTCACAGAGACATTAGCCCTGATAGTAATACTAAGTCCAAAAGTTACGTCTCTCACATCATATTCTAAACATCATATTCTAAGGGAAAATAACTCTTGTTTCATCCAAAGTGGTCTGATTTTTGCCTATTACTAGCAAGTGAAAACATTTCTAAGGGATATGTATTTTCCCTGCACTCCCATCAATCTATATTCACACAGCAGCCATAGGGGTATTTTTTTTAAAAAAAACATAAACAAGGTTGGTTCAGAACCAAGTATTTACTGAGCAAATACTACGTTCTATGAATGCCTCTATAGGTGTACCTAAAAGTAACACCAGTGAAGCAAACAAAATTGGGACCCTCTAGTGAGCAAAACAAAGACCCTTGCCTTTGTGGAGACAATCAATATGATAAATAAATTACATAGTATGTTAGAAGATGATATGTGCTATATGTGGGGAAAAGGAAAAATAAATCAGTATAAAGTTGGGCAGAAGTGAGGGAAGCAGTTTTAAACAATGTGGTCAGGATAGGCTTCAATGAGAAGGTGACATCTGAGAAAAGACATGAAAGGCCTAGGTGATCATGGAGATAGTAAAAAGAGATTGTATTCCAGATACGTTTTGAAAAGAAAAATCAAAGAGATTTACTGATGGATTGGCTGTGTGCTATAAGACATAGAGACAAGTCAAACATAACTTCCAGATTTTTGTTTGCACAATTGGAAAGATGGAGTTGCCATTGCTGAGACAAGGAAGGCTAAGTGCATAGCAGATTTGTGGTATGACATAGACATCTCAGAGGCATGTTGATTTTTAGACAGCTACCAAACATTTGAGAAGAGATGATGTTGAATAAACAGTTGAAAGTGTGAGTCAAGAGTTCAGCTAACAGGACTGCACTGCAGTTATAAAGTTGTGGGTCATGGCCTATATGATATTTAAAGCCATGAGATTGTATGAAATTACTAAGATAGTGAGGGTAATTTGAGATAAACAAAGAAGCAGTGTCCTAGAACTGATGCATTATAACATTAATAAGTTGCAGAGAAGAGAAACCAGTGGAGGAGACTGAAAAGAAGCAATCACTGAAATAGGAGGAAAACCAAGAGACTGAGGTGAACTAGAAGCCAAATGAAGAAAGTGTTTTAAGGAAGAGAGAGTGATCACTGTTACTGATTATCAAATAATATGAGGACTCAGAACTGATCATTGGGTTTAGCAGCATTGAGGTCATTGGTGACCTGACAAGAAGAGTTTTCATGAATTGTAACGAAAGCTTGATTGGAATGGGTTTAAGAGAGAGTGGGAAGACACTAATGGCAGCTCCTTTGAAGAGTTTTACTGGAAAGGCAAGAAAAATATTTGAGTGTATCTGGGGGAGTTTCTTTTAAAAGCTGGGAAAATTGACAAGTTTGTTAAATGATGAGAATGATCAAGTAAAGATGTAAAAATGGATGATGTAGGAGAAAGGGAGACACTTGTTAGAGTGATGTCCTCTAAATGAAGGGATTTGCTTTATATCATGTGGTTTTAATGCATGTCCACCCACAAGCCTAAAATAAAAGTAAAAAAAACAAGCAAACAAAAAAACCTTGCCCATAATACTTTGACACTATTTCCTTCAATAGGTGGAGTTTAATTGTGTTTCCTCTGAATACGGGCTGGTTTTAGTGAACCGCTTTTAACAAATGGAATGTGACAGAGTGATGGTGTGTGACTTCTGCGACTTGGTCATAAAAGGCATTGTGGCTTCCCTCTTGCTCTCTCGGATAACTTTGTTTGAGGGAAACCAGCTGCCATGCTGTAAGGACCCTCAAGCAGCCCTGTGGAGAGGTTCCTCTGGTGAGGAACTGGGGCCTCCTACCAATAGCCCTGTGAGTGCACCATCTTGGAAGCAGATCTTCCAGAACCAGTCAAGCCTCCAATGGTTAAAGCCCAAGCTGACATCTTCACAGAAACCTCATGAAAGACTGTGAGCCAGAACCATCAGTTAAGTTGCTCCTTCACTCCTGCCGCATAAAAATTGTGGGATGATATATGCTTATTGTTTTAAGCCACTAAATGTTGGGGTAATTGGGAACCCAAGATAGTTTATTTACAGCAACAGATAGGAAGATAGAGTACATGAGTACACTGTGGTGGATGAGTAAAAGTGGAATGAAGAATTTGTGGAGATTCCCCTCAAATTGCTTCAGCTTTCTCAGTGACACAGGAAGCAAGATCAATAGCTGAGAGTTGAGGGTAAAGATGGAAAAAGAAGTGTTGGAGGAGTGAGGAGAAAGGAAAAGTAAAATAGTTGTATTGGGTACAGATGGGGGACAGATAGAATGGACAAGGCAAATGTAGTAGGATAGTAGGCCATATTAAGGACACAAAGGAAGTATGTCTGCAGTCATCATATAAAATGAGACAGTGTGTTGTGTGCTTTGCTTCAGCAATTTCAATTGCATTCATGCAGAAGCAGAGTAGGTGGGGAGTTGGATTAAACCGGGGATGTACTTTTGCCAAGTGAGTACTATATGACACAATATAGGGCAAGGTGTATGCAAAAGAGTGTTTATACAAATCAGTATAATTGCCTTCTTAAAAATCATTTTGGTGTTCTGCTTCCAGGAAGATGGAGTAAACATATTTTACCCTTTTCCTCCTGTTAAGAACAACTAAGATGCCTGGACATTATATATAAAACAAACACAAAAAGAATCTGAAAGGTGAAGAGAAGAAAGCAGATTGTCAAGGGACTTCAGAACCCTAGAAATGAACTTGTGGTGAGTTTTCTGGGTTTTCCTGTTGCTTCACATATTCCAGACTTGTAGCTGAAGAAGATAGCAATATGGAAATGCCAACAACAAGAGCAGACAAAAAAAGTCCCAACAAAATCCTGCTCTCTCTAGTCAAAGGATCAGGAAAGGGAAGTCTAGCAAGACCAAAGCGATTAGACAATAAATAATCTACCCTCACATAACTGTAAAAACACAGCATCTCTCCATCCATACTGGGGTAGTGTCAGAGAAGGCCAGGTAGGGAGTTAGGACTTTCATTTCTGCTGGCCAGTTTTGAGGTTTGCCCTTCTTGCAATGTCAGTGGAAACCACCTGGGACACCTCAGCAGTAATAAGTCATTCTTTTCTCTCTCTACTAGGGTGGAGAGCCAGGACTTTCATGATTATCCAATGGTAATGAAGCCATACCCACTGCAATGTCAATGGAGACTACTTGGGGAACCAGATTCCCATTGGTACCCAGCAGTAACAAGGAGCACCCTCCCTTGAGAGTGAGTGGTCAACATCAGCCCTAACGTATTAATATGTTACACCAAATACAAATAATCTAAATATACCAATTTAAGCAAGTAAAAGTAAAAAGATGGAAAAAGACATATCATGCAAACATTAATCAAAGGAAAGCAGGAGTGGCTATATTAACATGAGATAAAGTAGACTCCAGAGTGAGGAAAATGACCAGAGACAGAGAGGGATATTTTATAATGATAAAAGGGTCAATCCACCGAGAAGACGTAGCAATCCTAAATACGTATGCAACCAACAACAGAGCTGCAAAATATGTGAAGCAAAAACTGCAAAATATGTGAAACAAAAATTGATAGGACTGAAAGGAGGAATAGACAAACCCACAATCATGGTTGAAAAGTTTGATACTCCTTTCTCAACAATTAGCAGAATACCTAGACAGAAATCAGCAAGGACATAGAAAACTCAACACTGCTGAGCACCAGGATTGGATCAACATCCATAGAACCCTTCATCCAACAATAACCGTGTCCATGGAATATATGTGAGATAGACTCTATCTTGGGCCATAAAACAAACCTTAATGAATTTAAAAGAATGAAAAGGATATAGTGTGTTTTTCAACTACATTGAAATAAAAATAGAAATCAATAAAAAAGATAAGAAGAAAATCTCTAAACACATGGAAACTAAACAATACACTTCTAAATAATCTATGGGTCACACAGGAAGTCTCAAAGGAAATAAAGAAAACTAACTAAATGCAAGTCAAATTACAATGTATCAAAATTTGTGGGACACAGTTAATGCAGTACTGAGAGGGAAATTTGTAACACTGAATGTGTACATTAAAGAAAGGAAAACTCTTAAATCCATAATCTAAGCTCCTATCTCAAGAACCTAAAAAAAAATTACAAAATAAACCGAAACAAGCAGAAGGAATAAAATGAGATTAGAATACAAATCAATAAAATTGAAAACAGAAAGTAGTAAAAAATCGGTGAAACAGAGAACTGGTTCTTTGAAAAGATCAATAAAATGGACAAACATCTTGCAAAACTGACAAAGACATAAAGAGAAAACACATAAATTCCCAACATTAGGAAGGAAACAGGCTATCTTTATTGACCCTGAACACATCAAAAGGATAATAAAGGAATACTATGGATAACTCTACACACATATACCTGAAAATGTAGACAAAAATAAACCAATTCCTGGAAAACCAAAAATGACCACAACTTACCCAACTTGAAGTGGATTGTTTGAATAGCTTTATAACTACTAAGGAAATCAAATTTGTAATTTAAAAATTCCCCAGAACATCTTCAGGCCCAGATGGCTGCATCAGAGAATTCTACCATATGTTTAAAGAAGAGTTAACAACCAATTCTACACAATCTCTTTCAGAAAATAGAAAGAAAGAAAAACTTCTCTATTCACTATTTAAAAAGCTAGTATTGCCCAATATCAAAACCAGACAAAAACAGCACAAAAAAGGAAAATTACAGCCCAATATTCTTTATGAGTATAGACACAAAAATCCATAACAAACTAATAGGAAATAGAATTCAGCAACGTGTAAAATAAATTATATACCATGACAATGTGAGGCTTATTGCAGGAAACAAAGCTGATTTAATATTTGATAATAAGTCAACGTATTATCAGGCTAAAGAGGTAAAATTTCATGATCATATCAATCATGATAGAAAAAACATTTGACAAAATTCAATACATTCCTGATTTAAAAAAAAACCTCTTAGAAAAATTGGAATAGGGAGAACTTTGTCAACACTGTAAAGAGCACCTACAAAAGAATTTATAGCCAATGTTAAATTCAATAGTGAAAGACTGAATGTTTTCTCCCTATTATCAGGAGTTAAGCAAGACTGTTTACTCTTACTACTCTTATTCAACATAGTGCTGGATGTCCTAGCTGGTATAATAAGGCAAGAAAAAGAAATAAAAGACATACAATTTGGAAAGAAACAAATAAAACTGTCCCTATTTGAAGATGACATAATAACCCACTTAGAAAATACCTAAGAATCCGCCAAAAAAAAATATATATATATATATAAAATCCTAGAGCTAATGAGTAAGTTCAGCAAAATACAAGATAAACATCCAAAAATTGATTGTATTTCATATATTATCAATGAACCCCTGAAGACTGAAATAAAAATACTAACATTATTTATCATTATTCAAAAACAAAAATGAAATACTTAGATGTGAATCTATAAAAACATGAATAGCACTGGTATGATGAAAACTACAAAACACTGATGAAAGAAATTTTAAAAAATGGAGAGATATACGGTGTTCATGGATTGGAAGACTCAACATATTAAAGATGTCAGTGCTTCCCAAATTGATATACAGGTTTAACACAATTTCTACTAAAATTCCAATAAGTTTTTTTGTGGATGTAGTCAAGATTGTTATAAAATGTATATAAAATAAGGAAGTAGTATAGCTAAAATATTTCAAAAAAATTTAGGAAGAGCAAACAATCTACCCAATTTTGACCTATCATGTAATCAAGACTATGAGATACTGGTGAAGGGATCGACATATAGATCAATAGAACAGAACAGAAAACCCAGCAATAGACTCTTACAAATATGCCCAACTGATTTTTGACAAAGGTGCAAAAACAGTTCATCAGAGGAAAGATAAGTTTTCCAAGAAATGATGTTGAAGCAATTGGACATTCACAAACAAAAAAATGAAGCCTCACCATAAACCTCACCCATTATATAAACATTAACTCAAAATTGATCACAGACTTAAATGTAAAACATAAACTTATCCTGTTTTTTAAAATGGGAGAAAATCTTTAGGACCTTGAGCTGGACTAAGAAACTTAGACTTGACACCAAAAGTACAATTCATGAAAGGAAAAATTGATAAACTGTATTTTATCAAAATTAAAAAGTTCTGCTTTGTGAAAAAACTCTGTGAAGAGTTGAAAAGATGAGTTACAGAGTGGGGGGCCATATTTGTAAACCACATATCTTATAAAGGACTAGAAGGTAGAATTTAAAAAATACTCTCAAAACTCAAGAATAAAAAATTGAACAATCCAATTAGAACATGGGCAAAAGACATGAAGAGACATTTCTCTGAAGAAGAGAAACAGATGGCTAATAAGCACATGAAAAAATGTTCACCATCATTAGCCATTGGGAAATGTAAATTAAAAGTGTAATGAGATATTACCACATATGGGTCAGAATGGGTAAAATCAAAAATAGTAGCAACATCACATTTTGGTGACGATGCAGAGAAATGGAATCACTCGTACATTGCTGGTGGGAATGTAAAATGGCATAGCCACTCTGGAAAACGGTTTGGCAGGTTCTTGAAAAACTAAACATGCAACTACCTTATGACCCATCCTTTGTACTCCTGTGCATTTATTCCAGAGAAATGAAGACATACAATAACCTATATATGAATGCTTATAGAAGCTTTGTTTGTAATAGCCCTAAATTGGAAATAACTCAGTTTTCCTTTGACAGGTGAACGGTTAAACTGTGGTTCATCCTACCATGGAATATTACTCATCAATAAAAAGGGATGAACTACTGACATATACAACAAAGTGGACAATGGACTCTCCAGTGAATTATGCTTAGTGAAAAAAGTAAATCACAAAGGTTATACTGTACAATTCAATTTATATAACATTCTGGAAATGACAAAATGATAAAAGTCTATTACAGATGTGTGGTTAACAGAAGTTAAAGAAGGAGGAAGGGAAGAAGGTGACTGGAAAGTGAAAGTGGCTATCAAAGGACAAGATGGGGGGTCCTTGTGGTGACGGAAATGTTCTGTATCTTGACTCTATCAGTGATAATGTCCTCATTGTGGTATCACTATGGATTTACAACATGCAGCCACGGGGGGAAAAGTGGGTAAAGGAAACACCCATTCTCTCTGTATTATTTCTGACAACTGCATGTGAATTTACATTTATCTGTTAAAATGAAACATTTAATTAAAAAAAATTTTTTTATTACTTCCAGTTGCTTTTAAAATAAAATGTGGCCCACAGGTGTCCACTGATCCTATCCTCTACCTGACACTGCAACCTCTTACTGTACCACGTTTCTAACTCCAGCCACATTGTCGCTTTACTTTAATGACACTGAGCTCTCTTCTACTCCTGGTTCTTTGCATTTGCTGTTTCCTCTGCTTGGGAATGCTCTCTCCCCAGTTCTTTACATGGTTCCTCATTCTGAGCCTGCAGGTCTCAACTCAAACACCGCCTGCTTAGAGAAGTCAGCCCTTACTTGCAAATCACAGGAAGGGAGAGCAGTTAAGCCCTGCAGCCCGCTGCCTGAGGGCTGAATTGCAATACCTCCATCCAATGGCCTTAAGGTCTAGGGCATTAGACTTAACACCAGCTCTGTGTCTGTGTTCCCATCTCTAAAATGGGCACCCTGCTAGTTTCTCCTTCACAAAATTGTTATAAGAATTAAAGGGGGGCCAGGTGGGGTGGCTCATGTCTGTAATCCCAGCACTTTGGGAGGCTGAGGTGGGCGGATCACCTGAGGTCGGGAGTTCGAGACTAGCCTGACTAACATGGAGAAACCCTGTCTCTACTAAAAATACACAAATTAGCTGGGTGTGGTGGTGCATGCCTGTAATCCCAACTACTTGGAAGGCTGAGGCAGGAGAATCGCTTGAAACCTGGAGGCAGAGGTTGCAATGAGCCAAGATCGCGTCATTGCACTCCAGCCTCCAGCCTGGGCAACAAGAGTGAAACTCCGTCTCAAAAAAAAAAAGAAAAACAGAAAAGAAAAGGATTAAATGGGTTAACATAGTCGTTTAAACTAGCACCTGAAATGCCATAAAGCCCACATAAGAGTTGTTTACTAGTATTTTAAAAACCTCCTGTAGCTACTCTCCATCTCTTTGGTTCTCAAGGTTTGATCCCTGGATCAGCAGTATCCCCATTACCTGAGAACTTGTGAAATAGGCACACTTTCAGGCCATACCCCAGACCCACTGAAACTCTGAGGATGGAGTCCAGCAATCTGTTTCAAGGAGCCCTACAACTATGACTCTGATGCGTGCTGCTCGAGTTGAGAGCCACCAGTTTATCTCATCTGCCTGTTTACTTCCTTAATGTTACTATCACAGGTAGATATTATCTTTTTATTTATTTACATGATTAATGCCTGCATCTCCTTCCAGAAGTTAGTATTCCATGAGGGCAGACTTGTCAATCTTCTTCACTACTGTATCTCCAACTGTTGGCATAGCATCTGGCACGAAGTAAGCACTGATAAACTACTAACAAATAGACAAAGGAATGAACAAACTTGGCCAAGGTCATATTGTAACCAGGTACCCTGTTTTTAAGCTTTCTTTCTGTTGCCCTTTGTGTTAATTTCTTAGTAATGAAATAATAACCTTTATGCTCCTTTCCACCAGGCCCTCCCTTGCATTGGTAGCTTATCTAATTCTATGTTTGCTTACAAGTTCCAAAGACTGAATCTTGAGACAATCTAGGTGCCTATGGAATTCTCCCCAACCAGGAAATTGCTTCAAGGACACAGTTAATTTATAACCTGGTTGAGCCCAAGATGGCACCGGATGGAGCAGTAACTTAAGTCATCGGAACAAGTCATGTAGACCCGCACAGCCTTGCCCATCTTGCATGCCCTTCACCCCAAAAGCTCCTCTTTTTAACTCCTTTGCCTTTTGCTTGAAAATTTGATATGAATTCATTAAGGCAGGAGCCTCGACAGTTTCTCCACTGCTAGCTATGGAAAAATAAAGTCATTGACTTTCTATCACAACTCATCCTTGTTATTCAGTTTTGCAAGTGGCAATCAACTGAATCTCCCTTTGGTTACAATCCATTTTTTAAATAACTGAACTGATGGATGTTGACTCCAGGCTGACTTGCCCCCTCTGACACACTGAGAATCAATGGCACCCCAACTCCTAGTCATTACTTAGCAGTCCCAAGTTTCCCATATAGTGCTGTGCAAAATGGAAGTCACTAGCATGCAGAAACCCCCACTTTCAAACTGCATTTTAAATACAAATATGGCCACAACAGAGCCAGAGGTTCTTTGGTCATGGCAGTGGGCGCTTGCTCTTCCTATTGCACTGTGTTGGCCACTTCATTACTTTACTTGTGATTGTCAAAGGAGTGTTTTCCTGTCATGGCAATGGGTCATCTTTTCTCTGTGGCTTTTAGTAGCTATGGCTGGTGAAGGGTTCCCTTCTCTTTAGGGGTTACTTTACATCTCAGTTTGGAGGCATCCCTTTTTCACCTTGAGTTTCAGTGGAGAGAAGATTCAGCACATCAGTACCCACACTCTTTCCCGTGACACTAGCATCTCTTCACTTTTCTCCTACTTCCCTGATCATTTCATCTCTGTCTCCTCTGTGGGCTTCTCTTCCTCAGCTTCTCATTGCTTCAGCTATTAGTGGCTCTCAGGGCCTGTCAGTTCCCTTTACCTGCACATTCCTAGGATGATCCCCTTCACTCCACAGCAGGATTTCCGATTTGAACCTCTCTGTTGGCACACGGACCTCAGTGTCCCAAAGGAACCTCAGCTCAGAATATCCAAGACTAAATGACTTATTTTCCTTTGCCCCTTCCTATTATTCTCTTATACGGGTTAGTGACACTGCCATTGATCCTGTTATCTAAGGCAAAAATCTAGGAGTGATTATTTGTTCCTCTCTTTATTTCACTTCCTGTGTGTTATCAGTATTCTAGTCCTTGAAATCGTACTCCTTATCATGCCTCCCACCACCTCCTTACCCCCTCTGGAGCTAATCAGGGCTGCTGAATCACGCCATGTGGCCAGCTTGGCTGCAAAGCTTCAAGAATCTCACCTGGACTGTTGTAATCATCTAATATCTTTGGGACTGGCCTTATATCTGTGTAAATCCTCCACACAACCACAATATGATTAAATAATTTTTTAAAAATGCAAATTAGGCCCCTTTTGCTCCATTGCTTAAAATGATGTTAAAGGTCACGTGTTAAAGATATGATACGAATTCCTTAGTTTGCTGTACTAGGCCCTTCATAACTTCTATGGATTGAATGTGTTCCCCAAAGATCGTGTCTTGGAAAGTTAATACAACAATGTCGGGGGTGGGGCCTATTGGGAGCTGTTTAGGTCGTAAGAGCTCTGTCCTCATGAACGGATGTGAGTTGTTACGGCAGGAGTGGGTTTGTTATAAAAGCAAGTTCAACCTTGTCTTGCCCTGCCTTGCTCTCTCACCCGTGTGATGCCTTTCTCTACATTATGACAGAGCAAGACGGCCTTCACCAGATGTGGCCCCTCAATCTTGGTCTTCCCAGAACTTTCAGTCAAATGAATTTGTATTTGCTATAAATTACCCAGTCTGTGGTATTCTGTTATAGCAGCACAAAGTAGGCTAAAACAATGATCAATCCAGATGCCTCAATCTCTGTACCTTACTTCAAAACCTGCTGCTATGGACAGAGTTGTGTTTTCCCCCAGCATTCATAGGCTGACATCCCAGCCCCCAGTGTGATGGTATTTGGAGATGGAGCCTTTGGGAGGTAATTAGGTCACAAGGGTGGAACCCTCGTGCATGCGATTAATATGTTTATAAGAAGAAACAGGAGAGAGCCTTCTCTTTCTCTGCCATGTAAGAACACAACAAGAAGGCGGCCATCTGCAATTCAGGAAGAGAGCTCTCATTAGGAACCGAATCACCTGGCACCCAAATCACTTCCCAGCCTCCAGAACTGCGAGAAAAGTAAATTTCTGTGGTTTAAGCCACCCTAGTCAATGGTATTTTGTTATTGCAGCATGAGGTTACTAAGATACCTGTACAACCTCCATACTAACCCTACCAGTATCATTAGCTTTTCAAAATGTATTTGGCTGCACTGTCTCCTCAGGTAGAAATGAATATGCTCTTCGTTAAGCGCATCTGTATTGGTTAGGTTTTGTTGCACTAACAACTCCAAATTAGAATAACAAACACTTATCTCATGCTCATTATATGAAGGCTGAGGGGTGCAACTCTGCTCTGGGCTGCAGGTTGGCTACAGATTTGCTCTGCCTGCCTCTCCATCCCAGGACCCAGGCTGAAAGAACAGGTGTCCCCTGAGATACACTCTTCCTTGTGGCAGATATCAGAATGCAAATAAAACGCCTAGTCAAAACACATGGTTATATTTAAAGCTTCTGTTCACTTGTGACGTACAACTTGCCTGCTCATATTTCATTGGCCACAGCAGTCCCATGGCCAAGCCAGACATCAGGGAGGTTGGGAGGTTTACTGCTAGAGAAGGGCAAAATGAACACCTGGGGAAAAAATCATACAATGTACTCCACTGCCCAACACCCGGCTCATATTTTCATTCTAGTCCCCAGAACCCTTGATTTGCTTACCTACATTTCTCCTCCTGAAAGGTAGGGCCTGATCTGTTTGGTTATTCCTTGCCAGAACTTAGTATAGTTGCTGAATGGGTAAATGAATTAATGATTGACCCAATAATTCAAAATGGAGAATGCAGGAAGAAGATTGAGTTTGTTGGAGAAGATAATTAGTTCAGTGTCAACCTCATGGGCTAAATATGTTCTGAATCGTGTCCTGGTAATGGATCTGTCATTTTTAATACAGTTACTAAGAGCTAATGTGTTCTGAGAACTCTACTATCAACTTAGAATCACTCTTTTGGAAAGGGGCTAATAGGCTTAAAACAGACTGTAATGTTTTGATTGACTGATTATCTTGATCTTAAATTTTATCAGATCTGAAATATAAATGCTGATAGTTTTACAGAGTTGGCTTTTTTATTTTCGGAAGCTGTGATTAAGACTAATTAAGTGGTTGTAAAATATAGATAGCCACAGAACTTCAAAAGGACAGTAAGGGAGAATAGAAAGATAAGTGAGAGCAGAACTTTTAAGAATCCAGGGAGTCCTTGAAACTCTGGAATCGCAAAATATT